GGACATGCGCTGGCTTGAGCAGGGGGACCTTGCGTGCGCTGCAGGTCCCAGCTCTCTTCAGGTCATTGACCAGGTCCTGCCGTGTAGTTCTGGGCTGATCCCTCACCTTCCTCGTGATCATTGATGCCCCACGAGGTGGGATCTTGCATGGAGACCCAGACCGAGGGTGATTGACCGTCATCTTGAACTTCTTCCATTTTCTAATAATTGCGCCAACAGTTGTTGCCTTCTCACCAAGCTGCTTGCCTATTGTCCTGTAGCCCATCCCAGCCTTGTGCAGGTCTACAATTTTATCCCTGATGTCCGTACACAGCTCTCTGGTCTTGGCCATTGTGGAGAGGTTGGAGTCTGTTTGATTGAGTGTGTGGACAGGTGTCTTTTATACAGGTAACGAGTTCAAACAGGTGCAGTTAATACAGGTAATGAGTGGAGAACAGGAGGGCTTCTTAAAGAAAAACGAACAGGTCTGTGAGAGCCGGAATTCTTACTGGTTGGTAGGTGATCAAATACTTATGTCATGCAATAAAATGCAAATTAATTACTTAAAAATCATACAATGGATTTTCTGGATTTTTGTTTTAGATTCCGTCTCTCACAGTTGAAGTGTACCTATGATAAAGATTACAGACCTCTACATGCTTTGTAAGTAGGAAAACCTGCAAAATTGGCAGTGTATCAAATACTTGTTCTCCCCACTGTAAGGAAATCAGTTAATTGAAATAAATTCATTAGGCCCTTATCTATGGATTTCACATGAGTGGGAATACAGATATGCATCTGTTGGTAACAGATACCTTAAACCTTAAATAAAAAAAGTATGGGCGTGGATCAGAAAACCAGTCAGTATCTGGTGTGACCACCATTTGCCTCATGCAATATTTCACATTTCCTTCGCATAGAGTTGATCAAGCTGTTGATTGTGGCCTGTGTAATGTTGTTCCACTCCTCTTCAATGGCTGTGCGAAGTTGCTGGATATTGCTGGAAACCGGAACATGCTGTTGTACGCGTTGATCAAGAGCATCCCAAACATGCTCAATGGGTGACATGTCTGGTGAGTATGCAGGCCATGGAAGAACTGGGACATTTTAAGCTTCCAGGAATTGTGTAAAGGTCCTTGAGACATGGGGCTGTGCATTATCATGCTGAAACATGAGGTGATGGTGGTGGATGAATGGCACAATAATTGACCTCAGGATCTCGTCACAATATCTCTGTCCTTTCAAATTGGCATCAATAAAATGCAATGGTGTTTGTTGTCCGTGGCTAATGCCTGCCCATACCATAACCCCACCGCCACCATCTGGCACACTGTTCACAACATTGACATCAGCAAACCACTCGCCCACGCAACGCCATACACGCTGTCTGCCATCTGCCCGGTACAGTTGAAACCGGGATTCAGCCGTGAAGAGCACACTTCTCCAGTGTGCCAGTGGCCATCGAAGGCGAGTATTTGCCCACTGAAGTATGTTACGACGCCGAACAGCAGTCAGGTCAAGACCCTAGTGAGGACGACGAGCATGCAGATGAGCTTCACTGAGACTTTCTGACAATTTGTGCAGAAATTCTTTGGTTTTACAAACCCACAGTTTCATCATCTGTCTGGGTGGCTGGTCTCAGACTATCACACAGGTGAATAAGCCGGATGTGGAGGTCCTGGGCTGGCGTGGTTACACGTGGTCTGCGGTTGTGAGGCCGGTTGCACGAATTGCCAAATTCTCTAAAACTACATTCGAGGCAGCTTATTGTAGAGAAATTAACATTAAATTATATGCCAACAGCTCTGGTGGACAGTCCTGCAGTTAGCATGCCAATTGCACGCTCCCTCAAAACTTGAGATGTCTGTGGCATTGTGTTGTGTGACAAAACTGCACCTTTTAGAGTGGCCTTTTGTTGTGCTCAGCACAAGGTGCACCTGTGTAATGATCATGCTGTTTAATCAGCTTCTTGATATGCCACATCTGTCAGGTGGATGGTTTGTCTTGGCAAAGGAGAAATGGTCACTAACAGGGATGTAAACAAATTACTGCACAACATTTGAGAGAAATAAGCTTTTTGTGCATATGGAACATTTCTGGGATCTTTTATTTCAGCTCATGAAACATGGGACAAACACTTTGCATGTTGCGTTTTTATATTTTTGTTCAGTGTATATACACTGAGTGTACAAAACATTAAGGACACCTTCCTAATATTGAGTTGCACCCCCACTGAACAGCCTCAATTCGTCAGGGCGTGGAGTCTACAAGGTGTCGAAAGCGTTCCACAGGGATGCTGGCCCATTTTGACTCCAATGCTTCCCACAGTTGTGTCAAGTTGGCTGGATGTCCTTTGGGTGGTGGACCATTCTTGATACACACGGGAAACTGTTGAGCATGAAAAACCCAGCAGCGTAGCAGTTCGGTGCGCCTACTATGTCTCAATTGTCTCGAGGCTTCAATATCCTTCTTTAACCTGTCTCTTCCGCTTCATGTAAACTGATCGAAGTGAATTTAACAAATGACCATCAATAAGGGACCATAGCTTTCACCTGGATTCACCTGGTCAGTCAGTCTGTCATGGAAAGAGCAGGTTTCCTTAATGTTTTGTACAGTCAGTGTATATGTATTTTAATGCAAATCATAGCGTATAGATGCTGGATGTACTGCTTTTTCATAGTAACCCACCATAATGGTAGTCTATTATTTTGTATCTGTGCAGAGCATAATTGCTAGTAGCCTATGTGTCAATCATTTAGTATAATAGGTGTGTAATAGTGATGCGCAGGTTGACTCATAACCCGCAGTCCCTGCGGTTATATCCGCATGTATAGGGTCATTAAATACTGTGTGGATGAAGGGCGGGTGGGTTGAGTAAAGAGAAAGCAATGCATTAAAAATCCATAAATGTATCATCCTTGTACAATTCATATCTATAGGCTACATTTAGGTTTTTCTTTCATTCTTTTTATCTGGCGAAAGTGCGTAGCCTAAGCTTTTGGGCCTAACTGTACGCTCTCCAAATACAAATACAAACGTCGATCCATTGAGCCAAAAAGTTTAATTCAAGAACAGAAAAGCTGCAAAATGGAGAGCTGAAAATAAATAGAAGGGAGGGCCAGAACAGTAGCCTAATGTTTGCGAAATATTTGGTGAAGGGATAAAAGAGGATGATAGCAGTGCCGGCTATGTTATGTGTGATGTTTGTGAGGTGCTATACAAATTCGACAGCCCCAAGACGGGGACTTCAAAATGGCACGTCAAGTGAACTGTAGGTTAGGCCTACTGTTCAGATGAGTTAAATTGAATAGTAGCCTGAAATTAGTACATTGACTGGAGGTCTATAACCTCTCACATAGCCTAATACAGTGGTCACCAACCGGTCGATCTCCAAGGCATTCCTAGTCGATCAACAAACATTTCAGTAAAATAACAACGATAAAGCCTTGCTTTCCTTTCTTTTTTTTTTATCCGTTTCGCGCTGTTGGCAGAAGGTGCATTTGATTCAGCAGCCCTATTGCCGTGAAGGCAAAGTGTTCCCATTTTGAACCATTTCATGTGTTTGAATGTAGAACTACCCGGCAGGCCCAAAGAGCAAATCAAGTGCACAAATAGGCCTACCACTGGCCAATCAGATAGCTCAGATCACTGTGTCTGCAGTGTCCTTGAGCCATAGACTGTAAAAAGAAGCCTTGAGCACACAGCAAAGTTGATACTGTGAGATTTCAAAGCTTTTAAAACCATGAGCTGCAGTTTTTAAGATCAAGTTTAAGTTGTTATTCAGCACTGTCAACACTTTTTATAAGCCATAAAATGCATGTTCTCCGTACTTCCACTCACGCTACAACCAGCACTGCAGCTGCAATTAATGAGTAGCAAAGTGTTTCGATAAGCTTGCATTGTTGTTATTATTAGCGGCTTTTGTCTTTTTTAATATCAAGGAATATTTAACTTTTTCTGGTCATACCTCAATTAGTTATTTTATCATTTCAAAATGGTCTGAGAAGAACAACATTGGCAGGGCAATTCAAGCATAGTCATTACGTAGTGATAATGTATTGGGCCTATAGCCTACTGCAGAAACCTCATTGCTATAGAACTGTTTTTAATAGGTTACTGTTGCATAGGCTTACGTTTTTTAAGTCATGTTTTAAAATCAATCGGAGCAGTAGATCTCGGCTTGCATTTTGACTCAGAAATTGATCTTGACACAGAAAGGGTTGGTGACCACTGGTCTAATATAATATTAACTCCTGCAGAATTAATCCTTTCTTGCAGTAAAATAATACACCAAATGTACATTTTGACTCGGGAACAGGAGTGGAGGAATATTATTTATTTATTTCATCATTGAGAGAATGAATGTACGGTTAGGGGACCGTCTGTAAAGGTGCTATTTTTATCAGCATCGTAAAAGCTGATAGTATTTCAAGCACATACAATATGCATCCAAGCCGATCTGAAATCTTATCAGAAACATGTTGGGTATTTTTCACAGCTTTTAATTTCTTTAAAACCGGTCAAACTGATGTCATTTGGAAATTTTGCACGGAAAATCTTTCCTGTTTTTTTCCTACAGTTATTGATATTCTGGTGAGGAAGGGTTTATTTAATATTTTAAGGCAACAAGTAATGACAGAAAAGAAAAACTGCATGTAATTATAGGCAAGTTTACAAACAAATAGCTTACCAAAATGCGGAAATTATAAGCAGAAACATAGGCCTATCTACGTAAAGAGGCCTGTCAAAAAATCACTCCACCATCTTTGACTGTAGTGCATTTTCTATATTTTTTCAGGTTACGGTCGGGTGCGGGCCTCAGATTTTCACTTTATCACATATAGTCGTGCGGTTGTGGATGGGTTATTAGCAATTGCGGGTGGGTGAACAAGTGCAAAAACTGCATACTAAACATCCCTCTTTTCCAACCGTTTATTCTTACAGGGTGACTACAGTATTCACATGAACACATTGCTGGAGAACAACCAGAGAAGATATTGTCTCTGGCGTTCCTGTGGAATATGAATGACAGCTTGAGAATGTCACCTGAGATCATGATGTTTCACCAAATGATGGAACAAGCCCAGAACGCCAGCTGTGAAGCACCCGCCCACATCTGTAATAAGAGTGCAAGTGGAGACACACTACAGCTGCCCACTTTCTCCACAGCAGCCAAAGTCAGAGTAATCATTACATTTACTCTGTGTGCCATGTCAGCTGTCTGTAACCTAGCTGTGCTGTGGGCTGCCAATACCAACGGCAAGCGCAAGTCCCACGTTAGGATATTAATAATTAACCTGACTGTGGCGGACCTGCTGGTGACTTTCATAGTCATGCCTGTTGACGCTGTCTGGAATATCACAGTTCAGTGGCAGGCAGGAGATGTCGCCTGTAGGCTGCTGATGTTCATGAAACTTGTTGCCATGTACTCCTGTGCTTTTGTCACAGTGGTCATTAGCTTGGACCGCCAGTCTGCTATCCTCAACCCACTGGCCATCAATGAGGCCAAGAAGAGAAGCAAGATCATGTTGTCTGTGGCGTGGGCGATGAGTGTGATTATGTCTGTTCCCCAGGTGAGGCTCTGGTTAAGAGAGGTTTCATGTTTGATCTCCTCAGCCTAATCTCAAGATGCCACCACAAGGATAAAAATAGACTTCCTGTATACCCCAGTGATGTTAAATGTTTAAGTAAAACAACATCAAATGACATAACCCTGCAGCGGCTTTATAGCACATGCACATTACTGACTTGATTCATGTTGTCAGGTTCACTTACCAAGAATAGAACATTTGATTTTGACAGCAATTAGAAACGTAGGAATGGTAAGCACTAATTCAGAAAACTCAAACACTTTCCTGAAGGGAATTTCAGTACAGGTGTTGCAGTTAATCAATATTGTCCATGGTTTAAGAGTAACCTTTAAATGTGATTGATAACTGGTGAGTAGGGCCTGCCCTACATCATTTACCGACTCCTGATTATGACAGTAATTATACATTTGGTGTCTCTGCAATAAAATCCATTAAACTACATAGGCTTTGAAAAATGGAGTCACTGAAAGAAGACCTTACCTGCAATTATTACTAATTCACAATTAATTTCAAGCATTCAACACTTGCATCTTCACCTTTGTGCAAATTCAGTGAAATGAGCACTTAGACATGGTATTAGTCACATTACAGACTAGGCAGGAGCAATTTTCTGCTGCATGAAACACTAGTATTTCATGCAGTACATCACTTAAGCCAAGCCATAGAATTATGGTTAAAGAGAGACATTTTTATTGTTAAAGACTAATGTTTCCTTTGTGTTGTAATACAGATGCTAATATTCCACAGTGTGACCATCACAGTCCCAGAGAAGTTTACCCAGTGCACTACCCACGGGAGCTTTGTCCAACACTGGCAGGAAACTCTGTACAACATGTTCACCTTCGCCTGTCTATTCCTGCTGCCGCTGATCATCATGATCGTCTGTTACACACGGATCCTGGTGGAGATATCCAGCCGTATGACCCATGGAAACAGTAGGTCAAATTACATATTTTACCGTCAATTGTAGTATTCTAGTGGCAATAATGGTAGAGGTATTTCTAGGTGTAGTAGTATACAGTTGTTCATGTGGGGTTTACTAAGAGCACTGCATATTGATGATAAAGGTAATATAAACTTATTGACAAATATGGTGTTGAGATTAGGAGGAAGTGTTTATTTCCTTGTTTCAGTGTATTCTAAGGAGATACATCTCAGACGCTCCCACAACAACATTCCAAAAGCACGGATGAGGACTTTGAAAATGAGTATTGTTATCGTGACTTCCTTCATCGTCTGCTGGACCCCTTACTACCTGTTGGGACTGTGGTACTGGTTCTTCCCTGACTATATGGATGAGACGGTCTCTCATTCTTTGACTCATATGCTCTTTATTTTTGGCCTCTTCAATGCCTGTTTGGACCCAATAACTTACGGCCTGTTCACCATCCATTTCCGCCATGGCCTGAAGCGCTACTGTCGGAGTGCAGCCGTGCTCAGCCGTGAGTCAGAGAACAACACTACCCTGACCGGCTCCTTCAGGTGCTCCTCCTTCCGCATGACACGGCTTACCCAGCAAGGCCAGACCACCATCACTGGCCAGAGGGCAGAGGAGGAACAGGGCAAGAAACCCTGCCGCTATAGCAACTATCTCACAGTTCACAGCAGTGGAGGTGACCGATGTCCGGCCAATCATGAAAGCATGATATGAGGGATTAGAATAAGTCCTACTTATGAACATTGCTTATACCCTCATCTGTTGGCTGACAATGAATAACTTAACTTTTGTGCTGTAAGAAAGCACTTTTTGCATACATTTTCATTCAGCCAGACATTGCTTACAGTGTAAATCATAAGACACTTATCTGCATATTATTCAAACAGTAGTACTCCCGTTCAGTGGTCTTTGGACTTGTCCAGGAAACAAAATTCTCCATGGATATATCCAATTTCCTCAAGATGTGCAAAGGAGGAAGCCTATAAATGAATTGCTCTTTGTTCAAGTAAAGTTAATTTTGCAGGCAGACATTACATATGCACTGTAAAAAGTGGGACAGCGCTGTTGTTAATCTGAAGTGCTTTTACATTTTAGCAGACGCTCTTATCCAGAGAGACTTACAGTTTAGTGAGTGCATACATTTTTCATACTGGCCCCCCGTGGGAATCAAACCCACAACCCTGCCGTTGCAAGCGCCATGCTCTACCAACTGAGCTACACGGGACTATAGCGATTGGAATGATTGAAAATTATGCTTTGGTTTGTTCAACCTATTCTATTACATTTACCTGAAATCACATAACAAATTAGACAGATCAATGACATTTTAAAAATTGAATGAAAGCTTCTAAATTGCTTTCAACACAGCATGCTCATTGAATAGTGGTGGGGGCAATGTAGCAGCCGCAGCCTATCAAAATAGTTGGAGGCGTGGCTTATTGGCGACGTGGCTTTCAGGTTGTTATTTATGCCCACCCGTGAGAGTGAATGTCATTCCAGTTAATGTGGTCTACTGTAGTCGTTATACAAACTTAGACTTGTACACTGACAGCAAATCTAATGATACTTGCATAAGAGCATGTGATACTGAAGAGCCTGGTAAGTTTTCTATGTTTAGGTAGCCAATGCTTGGTTGCAATATTGTTGCTATGAAATTTGAAAGTGTTGTGTAAAGAATATGTTAGGATTTTTTTTTTAACAAGCTTAATTTTTTTTTTTACAGGGAATATATTTAATTGCTTGTAACCCAATTGAAGAAATGTGGATATGTAATTCCAAATTAAAAGGTGAACTTGGAACAAGATGAAAAGATGGGCTGTATTTAGGCTACAGTAAATATCCGTTTGTATTTGTTATTTATTAGGTTTAACTAAAGGGGACAAGTAAGTTGAGTGTTGAAATATATAGGTTGAAACTTGAAATATAGTTTTGGTAATAATCAAATAAAACAGTTGGCATTAAATCATATATTTGGTTTTAACAAATTTAGCATTTTCCTATTGAGAAAACCCAACCCATTTACAGTTGAAGTCGGAAGTTTACATACTCTTAGGTTGGAGTCATTAAAACTTGTTTTTCAACCACAAACTATAGTTTTGGCAAGTCGGTTAGAACATCTACTTTGTGCATGACACAAGTACTTTTTCCAACAATTGTTTACATACAGATTATTTCACTTATAATTCACTGTATCACAATTCAAGTGGGTCAGAAGTTTACATACACTAAGTTGACTGTGCCTTTTAAACAGCTTGAAAAAATTCCAGAAAATGATGTCATGGCTTTAGAAGCTTCTGATAGGCTAATTGACATCATTTGAGTCAATTGGAGGTGTACCTGTGGATGTAATTCAAGGCCTACCTTCAAACTCATTGCCTCTATGCTTGACATCATGGGAAAATCAAAAGAAATCAGCCAAAACCTCCGAATTTTTTTTTTTGACCTCGATAAGTCTGGTTCAACCTTGGGAGCAATTTCCAAACACCTGAAAGGTACCACGTTCATCTGTACAAACAACAGTACGCAAGTATAAACACCATGGGACCACGCAGCCGTCATACCGCTCAGGAAGGAGACGCGTTCTATCTCCTAGAGATGAACGTACTTTGGTGCGAAAAGTGCAAATCAATCCCAGAACAACAGCAAAGGACCTTGTGAAGATGCTGGAGGAAACAGGTACAAAAATATCTATATCCACAGTAAAACTAGTCCTATATCGACATAAACTGAAAGGCCGCTCAGCAAGGAAAAAGCCACTGCTCCAAAACCGCCATAAAAAAGCCAGACTACGGTTTGCAACTGCACATGGGGACAAAGATCGTACTTTTTGGAGAAATTTCCTCTGGTCTGATGAAACAAAAATAGAACTGTTTGGCCATAATGACCATTGTTATGTTTGGAGGAAAAAGGGGGTTGCTTGCAAGCCGAAGAACACCATCCCAACCGTGAAGCACAGGGGTGGCAGCATCATTCTGTGGGAGTGCTTTGCTGCAGGAGGGACTGGTGCACTTCACAAAATAGATGGCATCATGAGGAAGGAAAATTATGTGGATATATTGAAGCAACATCTCAAGACGGAAGTTAAAGCTTGGTCGTAAATGGGTCTTCCAAATGGACAATGACCCCAAGCACACTTCCGAATTTGTGGCAAAATGGCTTAAGGACAACAAAGTCAAGGTATTGGAGTGGCCATCACAAAGCCCTGACCTCAATCCTATAGAACATTTGTGGGCAGAACTGAAAAAGCGTGTGTGAGCAAGGAGGCCTACAAACCTGAGTTACACCAGCTCTGTCAGGAGGAATGGGCCAAAATGTACCCAAGTTATTGTGGGAAGCTTGTGGAAGGCTACTCAAAACGTTTGACCCATGTTAAATAATTTAAAGGGAACGCTACCAAATACTAATTGAGTGTATGTACAGTGCTATGAAAAAGTGTTTGCCCCCTTTCTAATTTTCTCTACTTTTGCATATTTGTGATACTGAATGTTATCAGATCTTAAACCAAAACCTAATATTAGATAAAGGGAATATAAATGAACAAATAACACAACAATTACATATTTATTTCATAAACAAAGTTATGCAACACCCAATTCCCCTGTGTGAAAAAGTAATTGCCCCCTTACACTCAATAACTGGATTTAGCTGCAATGACTCAAACCAAATGCTTCCTGTAGTTGTTGATCAGTCTCTCACGTTGCTGTGGAGGAATTTTGGCCTACTCTTCCATGCAGAACTGCTTTAACTCAGTGACGTGTGGGTTTTCAAGCATGAACTGCTCGTTTCAAGTCCTGCCACAACATCTCAATTGGGATTAGGTCTGGACTTTGACTAGGCCATTGCAAAACTTCCAATTTGTTGCTTTTTAGCAATTTTCATGTAGACTTGATTGTGTGAAAAACTTCTGACTCACTGGGAATGTGATGAAAGAAATAAAAGCTGAAATAAATCATTCTCTCTACTATTATTCTGACATTTCACATTCTTAAAATAAAGTGGTGATCCTAACTGACCTAAATCAGGGAATTTTTACTAGGATTAAATGTCAGGAATTGTGAAAAACTGAGTTTAAATGTAGTTGTCTAAGGTGTATGTAAACTTCCAACTTCAACTGTACTTGTAACCAGTCGAAGTAGTTTTTTTAGGTTGATCCAAAGAGTCAAATTATACAATGTGGACTTGGAACAACAACTGTAAATCTAGGCAAATACAGTCTGATGACATCTAGATGCTCAACTTGTGGTTCATTGTGCAATGCGCAGAACAGCTTTATGTGAATTCAAAAAGCCTAACATTTTGATCTATGATCAAATGAATGTTGTGATGCAGTAAATATTGTAATCCACCCTTATAGCCTTTATAATTTAAGTGGTTGGGCATAGTGAAGTGTGAATGTACCTTACAGAAATATGTATAGTCTTGGTTGGTTCTTTGGTGATGTGTTATTTATGGAAGTTATGTCCAGTGCCTGAGGGATGTCACTGCATAGTGTGTTGCATATACATAAAACTGGAGACAACCAAACTGTAAAATGTGATCGGTTGGTTGGTTTGTCATCTAAAAAAATATTGTATTATGTTGTGTGTAATGCTTTAATGGTCACATTCTGTACATGTTACAGTAGAAGACAAACAGATACAGGTAATTTAATGTTGAATACTGGGACCCAAACATGTTGCAGAAAACCCCATAAGACACAATTTGTTAACTAATATTCGGTTGTATGCTTTTCTCTTAAATGTTTGCTTGTGTTCAAAGAAACAAAACGTTTAGGGGATAGCAATATTTGTGTGCATGATTGCAATATTTGTTAAGTTAAAAGCAAGATGTGTGTATTTGTGATGTGTACATTATTTAAATAAAGTTTTGTGTTAATTGTACTAATGCATACTAAGCAATTCCTGAATTATTGGAGGAGCAGAATTCATCGAAAGTAATGAACACTATCAGAAAAGTCGATTAGTTACTTATCACAATATTATTTTGTACTCAAATTATCGATTTGTCCCACCAAAACACACACACACACACACATATATATATATATATATATATATATATATATATATATATATATATATATAGTGTATATATACACTACCAGTCAAAAGATTGGACACACCTACTCATTCAAGGGGTTTTCTTTATTTTTACTATTTTTACATTTTAGAATAATAGTGAAGACATCAAAACTACGAAATAACACATATGGAATCAAAAAAGTGTTAAACAAATCAAAATATATTTTATATTTGAGATTCTTCAAATAGCCACCCTTTGCCTTGATGATAGCTTTGCACACTCTTGGCATTCTCTCAACCAACTTCATGAGAGAGTCATCTGGAATGCATTTCAATTAACAGGTGTGCCTTCTTAAAAGTTAATTTGCGGAATTCCTTTCCTTAATGCGTTTGAGCCAATCAGTTGTGTTGTGACAAGGTAGGGGGGTATACAGAAGATAGCCCTATTTGGTAAAAGACCAAGTCCATATTATGGCAAGAATAGCCCAAATAATCAAAGAGAAACGACAGTCCATCATTACTTTAAGACATGAAGGTCAGTCAATACGGAACATTTCAAGAACTTTGTGCAGTCGCAAAAATCAAGCGCTATGATTAAACTGGCTCTCATGAGGTCCGCCACAGGAATGGAAGACCCAGAGTTACCTCTGCTGCAGAGGATAAGTTCATTAGAGTTACGAGCCTCAGAAATCG